CCTAACTAGTACCAGAAATATCTGCTCTGGTTAAGTCTTGTCAGCTTGCCTAGTGGCATCTCCAGGTTAACATTATGTTCTTCTCTTTAAATGCACAAGGTGCAAACAAAGCTTTTGAGGACAGCTTGGAAGATCAAAGCTGTACGAGCAGCATGAATATCAGTCTGTGCCTGCGCCGTGTCCTCATGGGATTATCCTGCCTGGAAAGTGTTCTCCAGCTGCAGAGCATGAAGGGACTGGCAAGAAGAGGGAGCAGAAGCTGCCATCTCCTTGGGGTGATGGCAAAGGTGACCTGGCACTGCTACTGCAGCATGAAAAATGGCAGGGCCAAGTGGGTGCTTGCATGGGACCAGTCACGGGATGACTTGTAGCATTTCTGTAACCAAGACTTTGATTTCCATCAGGAGACTTAGTAATGCAAACATTTTAAAAGCCCTTACTTTCCTCACAAAGTATAAAACCCAGGCTATTCATTTCTTTGCTGGTTGTCCAAGTGAATCAGGCTGTTGACTGAGTGCCTTAAGCATGTCCCTCTACTAAAACCTGCAGTAGAGCCCATCCCATCCCATCCCATCCATCTGTCATGATTTATACAGTTGTTCTATCACCTGATGACGTCACCCTACCCTGGGAGGGGAATTGGGAAAAAGAAAGGAGACCCATGGGTTGAAATAGAGAATAACAGAATCATAGAATCATTTGGTTGGAAAAGAACTTGATGATCATTGAGTCATCAAACCATAAACTGTCCATTACTAAACCATGACCCTAAGCACCTCACCTACCCATCTTTTAAATCCCTCCAGGGATTGTGACTCCACCACTTCCCTGGGCAGCCCCTTCCAGTGCCTGATAACCCTTTAAGTGAAGACATTTTTCCTAATATCCCATCTAAACCTCCTCTGGCACAACGTGAGGCCATTTCCTCTTGTCCCATTGTTTGTTACCTGGGAGACCAACCCCACCTCGCTACACCCTCCTTTCAGGTGGTTGTAGAGGGTGATAAGGTCTCCCCTCAGCCTCCTCTACTCCAGCCTGAACAGCCCTAGCTCTCTCAGCCGCTTCTCGTAATTCTTGTGCTCCAGCCCCTTTCCCAGCTTTGCTGAGCATCCTCAAAAGCTGGGGATCTCCCTGAGGCATTTCTCTGCCCTTCAACTCCAGGGTCGGCCCAAGCAGCCTGCGCTCAGCCAAACACCCCAACTATCGTCAGTTCTCATTCAGTGCTTTTTCTAAACTTTCTGAGTCTGACGTAAGAAATAACTGACCTTTACAGCTGCATTTGAGCCAGCTGCATTGCCGTCAGCTCTTGCGAGTCCTCACTGCTCAGATCATATTTGCTTAACGGCATGTGAATTAATTAGTTGGAAGCTGACACTGCACCACAGGATTAGCCAGTGACTTTAACACGGGGCGGGTGCATGAAATCAAATATGCAGAACATCTTTTGGGAAAAAAAAGGAGGTAAATTCCAGTTCTCTTGGAAATATTCACTTTTAGGCTAACTGTGAGTGGAGTAATGAATGAGCTGAAGTACAGAAGAAAAATAAACTCAGTTCCAGATATTTAAAGGCTCAGCAATTCCTTCCAGGCAAAAAACAAGCAGCTATTGTGTGCCTGTGCTGGGAGGGCTGGGGGCAGGCTGTGTTTCCCACAGGCAAATTAGGAATGGGAAAAGCAGAACAAAACCCACGAGCCTCAGCAGCCCGAGCAGGAAACACAAGCAGTTTTGTGTTCAACATGATTGGTGTTGTCAGTAGGTGGGTTTTATGGGGCTTTATTCTTATTCTGGGAGGAAAGCCCTGGCTTTGCTTGAGCCAAGAGTAATGACTGTTCAGACCTGGGAAACAAGAGGGAGCCAGCCAAAACCACCTTTGCCACAATGCTCTGAGAACAGGGGTTGTTCTTCTGCCCCCCCGTCCCCCCCCGTCCCTTGCTGGTGCTGGAGGTTGGCCACATTTCACTAGAACCTGATAAAAAGCCGTCTGTGCCCTGCATGGCAGGGGGTGTCCGATTCACGTCATTTATCTTACTGTTAAGAAAGACCTGTGTCAGCCATCAGCCACACAGGGACCAGACCTGAGCCCCACAAAATACATATTTGAACCCCCACACTGCTGCCCCACAGTCGCCTGGGCAAAAAGCTTTTCTCATCAGATATGGCTCAAAGCCCTCCCTGACCCTGCTTCCGGGCCATGGTGAGCACGAACAGTGCAAAAAAAATCCCCAAATTCTTGGGGATTTGGTATTTGGGCGCTGCGTTTCAGGCTGTGCAAAGGGAAAGGGGCTAAAGTAGTAAAAAAAGCTCCTGGGAAGGGAATCTTGGAGACAAAACCCTGAGTTAAGTTGGCGATACGCTAATTTTAGTGAACCAGACCATAAGAGAAATAAGGGGACTCCACGCTAGCCCAGCAGGAAGCGGTGCTGCTGGCTGTGTACAGCTGCTATCCCAAAGCAATGCCATGAGCCGCCCTGACCAACTGCTGCGTTGAAAGGTTTGTTCAAGATTTTTACGATCCGATTTAGATCAAACCAAAGGTTATTAGAGAAAATCAGGAACTGTCCAATAGCCATTTCCAATGCATTATAAGAAGCACTGTGAAAGAAAACATTTATTTTGGGGGACTGATACGTCTAAGGTGCCCTTAGCCATAAGCAAGCTTTGCCTGTTAAGAAGCTGTTCCAGTGACAAATTTTCAACATAAAGCCTGCATGCCTGAAGAAACACTTTTAGAAAATGAAATTTCACTTGAAACATTTCTAATTTCTTCAAGAACAGTTCAGTTAAACTCAGCTACTCACCCATTAACAAAAAATGCAATATATATTTTGTGGACTTATTGCCTTCCTAGAAGCAGACAGGCACTCTTGGCCATCAGATGCCTCAAGTGAGTTTATCTGGCACTCACATTATTAGTTTTAACTGATGAACTGTCAAATTTGTCAGGTTTCAACAGGTTATGAGTTCCTCAAAACTCTCTTGCAGCTTTGCTAATGATTAGGGCCCAGCAGCAGTCGGAAAAGGGAACACAAGCTGGAGGTACCAGGGGAATAACACACATAGCCAAGAGTCTTTTTTTTATAAAATTATTTTTAATAAACTGATGGATTTAAGTTTAAGATGCTAGACAACTTGTTGCCATGTACAGGTAACAAAAGTCAAAATTCTTTGAATTTTATACAAATACTATGTAGTACAGCAAACTTGAATACAAGTTTACAAAAAATGCATCAGTGAATATTCAGCTTGTACCCAACTTCCAACAGTGAAAATCATCATGTATCAATAGTGATCAGAATTGCATTGCAAATTTTAGAAGTAATGCAACTATGTTTTTACCAAGCCACTCTGAAGTTACTGGTGCACACTGACAGTACATCGGATTTTTTTGGCTTGCTGAACAGAAAATGGCATTTAAATAAAATGACTCTGAGTTAAACAATACGTATCAAAAGTACTATCTCACAGAAAATTAAACAAGAATGAGAAAGTAAACAGAGCAGAACCCTGAAGTAGTGGTATTTTTCTACCCGTTTTGATGGAAAAGACTCCACAGGTGTCCAGCTTTCTCGCAGCATTTTGGAGTGTCCTAGTCCTAGCACAGTGTGGTCATTAGTAGACTTACAGTAATCCCTGCTTGGCAGTAATGCTGGTGAAAGGTAACTTGCGCTATTGCTAACAAATTGGAGGAACCACTGGCAGGGTGACTTCCCGGAGGCGTCCGGCGGAGGCTGAGCTGACAGCACGCGGTAGGAGTTAGAGCACCGCTTGCTTCGATACGATACCCAACAGCCTTCAGGGTTCAGGTGTCAGTTTTTCACAGGATTTACAAATGGATGGGTTTCAAACAACAACAACAAAAAGATTATGGCGCATAAGACAGTATTTTCACCGGTACAGCCACCAATACAATGAACGGTTTTGTTACAAACTTTCCAGCCTGCTTTATAAAAAATAGTCTCAGTTTTACTTCTAAATAAAAACTGTGCTGTGATCTGTCACGTTCTTGCATTGTACATGCCATAGTTGTGTGTGTTAATGAAGGTGTAGAGATTTGTGACCTAGCGCTCTGGATGGATCAGAAGCCTAAAAAGCTGATTTTGGTACATAAGCTAGGTAGTGATGAAAATTCATTCCATTTATTTTTCCTAAAACCTAGGAAAAGCTACAGTACATTGCTAGATCAGTGGCCTCAACCCTGAGCTGAAATAAAGGACCTGCCTTGGCCAAGAGACTGTCACATTGCTACCACAGCTGCGCAGCAGAGACAAAACAACCTGTCTGCGGGCTGTCGTCTGAGCTGAAAGTAGTGCGAGATTCAGTTCTGTAACACTTGAGAGTTGACTGGAGACCACCATATTCATTTTCACTACAGGAAAAGAAAATGAAAAAAAAAAAAAGAAAAAAAAGAAAGGAGAACTCAAATTCGGAGATTCAAGTGAAAAAGCACTCAACAGGGAGAGTCAGCATGTCCAGCTTCTGGAGGCCAGAGAACATAGTTAGTGGTGGACTTGTCAGTCGTAAGCGTTTCCCCCTTGCCAGAAGAGATGATTAACACACGTACCAACCTAAGTTAAAGAGACTTCTACTATCATCCCACTCTTTCCAGAAAGAGTCTCACTTGATTTCTTTTCCCCCAGAACTGAGCGCATCTCTGTACCTACACTGCATCACAGAAAATGAGTGAAAACTCGAAGGATTCAACCTAACTGTTATCAGAAAAACTCCCACTCATTTCTAGCACGAGTCGGAGCTGGCCATCATAAGAATTCTTACCACGATGCAGCCACTGCACCTTCCTGTAGGGTTCAAGGGCACTGACTACCCATGGCGAGGAACATGAAGCATTCTTGCCTCCTAAGAGGACTTTTTGCCTTTTAAACAGCAGAAACTGTAGAGTCAGAACTTCACTTAATGGAAAAACGAAACCTGGCAACAGACTGAAAATAAAGCTTGTAAGAATCACTTATACTTCTAGTCACGCACGCCTCTGTGCGAGCTGATCCGTTTACGGAGGGTATGGTTTTTGTTAGTTTAAGGCAGCAAGTCTTACAAAACACACAAGCTCACCTCCCTCATGTTTGTGCTACTGTATCCTTATGTGCACAACAGAACCTCACTAATTTACACTGATGACTGGAAGAACCATTAATTCTCTTGGTAAGTGAACAAGAATAAGGCATTCCATTATATATTCTGATCACTAATTATAATTTAGCTCTAATTATAATCTACCAGCAAACATACTTCTGTGTTTTAGAAAATAATCTCTCTTACCTTCGGATATAATTATGTGTGCAGATTAGTGGGTTCTGCTGTGTAAACACGCAGGTGCATAAGCAATTTTCAGGTTTTTCTTCATTACATCTGACAAGGAAGTTAATGCCACAGATAGAGACTGTGGGAAAATAAATTAGGATTTCTCTATAATTTGTGCGGATATGCACAACTGGGCAGTCATTTATAGCTCAAAGAAAAATAGGACACAAATGTTTACAAACGCAAATGAAGCAAAATCAGCAGCAGAAAGCAAGGCCATTCCCCAACCATAAATGGCTTGTATTACACTATTCCAAACTACAGGGAACAAACAAAAAAAAGAATACCAGTACTAACTTTTATATACAAGTCTGAAATCAAGTAAAGCAAACAGTGAAACAGTTGTTGATGACTCTAACATGATATTCACATGTCTAAATCCTGGTTGAAGTAGACTGTAAATACAGACAGAAGGATGCAAACTACATGGCTGAGTTTAAAAAAAAAGAAAAAAAAAAGAAAGAAGAAAAGGATCAATGTGCATTGTAATGAGATAGAAAATTCCCTTCATATGTGCAAAAATCCACAGTTTCATTAATGTAGAGGTCATACTTCTAGTAACAGATCTTAAACCAAACCAGTCTCTCTACATCCTGGCATAGACCTGTTTACATCAGCCACTAAGTGCACAGTACCCTGTTCACAGATATAGTATTCAGCAGTTTCTGGCATTTCTCAGAAATTTAACATTCACCTGCCTTAAATCTTTAAAACAAAGGGGAGAGTTCATCCAGGGCATCATACCACTGCTTTTAAGTTATACCAACCGTTAAATCAAATGCAAATTCTCTCTTCTTCCATGGTGGCAGGAGTCCTTAAAGGACTTGTAAACAGCAGTACACAATACTGTAAACAAATAATTTAAGTTCTGCTTTATACAAGATGGTAAGTTAACCCAGGTCTACCAAACAGGTGAAAATGAAAAGGGTGGCTTCACACAAAATCCTTCCCTTTTCTCCCAGCAATTCTTTTCACTACGTAAATAATCCTGAGCTGAAACAGGGCTTGACGAGAGCCTTTTTTGCATATAAAAACCACTTTCTAGAGTCAGCTCTCGTGTTCTGTCAGGAAGTCAATTGCTGGAGAGATTAAACTGAAGTATTTCAAACCATTTATTACTTTGGAGAAGGACTTATAATTTGGTGTGCCGTCCAGTTCTAGACCCAGATGCTGAGCTCGCCAAGGAAGCTGATGCTGCTGCATCCTCGGCTTCCTCCAGCTCATCGTGCAGCTCCTGGCTGACACTGGACTGGAGGGCTGCGGGCGTCAGCCACTCCTTCGGCAGACAGCTCTGCAGAAACGGGATGCAGGAGCTGAAGTAGGCCAGGCGATTCACCCACCGTGGGATCTCTTTTCCACACAGGATCTAAGGGGGGGAGGGAAACGAAAAGATTCATTTGTCTTCTGGATTCAGCAGTAACAAAATTACAGTACTGTAAATAAAAACCAAACATTGCAGCAGCTTTACAATTTACGGATCAGAAATGCCAACTTTTTTTAAAGAGTCCTGAAAAGCCTGATCATGTCATTCTTTTTTAATAACTTCCACAAAAGGCACAGAAATTAGTTGAGGTATGCTTTCTATTCCCTGCTAATTCCTCAGAAACAGAAATTGCAGGAGAAATGTCACGATTACAAAAAAAAAGCACCCTGAAATCAAGTGGTCAAAAAGACAGTGTCAATACTGCAGTTACGTGGAGTTATGCATACAGCTGAGGCTATTTACTGTGACTCTGCTGTAACTGAGCAGCGTTTAACTTGTAATGATATCCCTGGTTCTGTAGTCAATTTGGACACTAAATAGGCCAATACGTAAAACAGAAACAACATGACCATGCAGTTGAAGAATATGGCAAAAACCTGGCCACATAGGCCAGATTTCATGCCAACTGCAGTCTCACCCTACTTTCTTGTACCAGTGTTGCACATGAATCATCATCTCAATAAAATTTTCCAGTACCACTGGAAAACGAGCCTACACAAAACATAGGCTATACAATTAGTGTGTCATTTTGAAAAAATGTTTTGAAAACAAAACAAAACACAAAACCAAACAGAGCCAGATACTCTGCACAACCACTCCAGTGTCTACGTGACCAGGACACAGGTGCTGGCAGAGCAGTAACTTGACAAAAGCCCCTCAAGCAGAAGATTAACATTGTGAAACTTCAATGCCTTTGTTATTCTTTAACAGCAGATCATAACTTTAAGAATTATTTTCAGTGTGATGGTTCTGTGGGGAAATACTGAGAAAAATAACATGGGGCTCTATCTTCAGTAGTGAAGCATCTGAAATGCTTTTCAAATCCTGTTCATACCTTATTTACTAGGTCTCTGAATTAGGAACGCTCCCCTGCTCGAACACAAACTACGCATGACAACACTATTTGGCTTTTTTGGCAGCAAAACCTCGTGCTTTGGATGTAAGCACAAACAGAACCTGAAAAACAGTGACATTTGCCCAAGGTAACAGACAGGAAGCTGGAAATCAGGCCAAACATTCCAAAGGACAGGAAGGACATGACACTCTGTAGCCACCTGGGAAGCACCTTTCTATAGAAGTTTGTTTACCTCAGATAAAGCTGAAGAAAAGTGATTGCAGTTTTTGTGCATTAGGTGATAAGCATTTCCTTTGAATTCTTTTCCAAGCTCTTCTACTATTTTTTCTATGTCATCTTCCATGAAGTCAGTACTGCCTAGAACCACAGCCTCTCTGGAAGAGAAAGAGAGAGTAGAAGGTGATCAGGCTTCCACGATGTAGGTGGAACAGTTCATACATTGCTCAAAAAAACACCCCAGCGTGGGTGGTGAGATCCTTCTCACAAATTCTTTCTATTCCATTTTACAGCACCACATCAATCTTTATTATGAGAGATTATTTCCTTGCCCATTGTCCACCTGTAGCTCACTTAAGTTCTTTGCAAGTTAATTCTGACAAACACTGGATGCAATTTTCCCCTCCTCTCCAAGGGATATTGTTTCTAAGAGACAGCTGAGGACAGGTGAGAGCTTGTGATGCAGGGAAGGGTCAAGGCAATCACACTGAGAAAGCAGATAAAAAAACCATGGGGAAACTTTGAAGAGCAATGTTTTTCAGCTTTTTCTTCAAATTTCATTACCTTGAAAAAGTTACTCCATTGTATATACTGTGTGAATAACAAGAGCTAGCCAGAAGTCCACATAATTTGTACACGTTTAAGAAATGTAATGGTATGTGAAAAATGTTCTTTGCTGTAGACACTTCACTGTCTCATCACTTCTGTCCGTCTTTCGCTTCTAAGCAAAGACACTAATTTCTCAGAGAGTCTGAAATCCCGTAGTATCATTCAACATATCTATCCTCAAAAAGAAATGCAACAAGTGGTCTTTTTAATATGCTCTCTCAAAAGCAAGAAAATAGGTATCTTTCTTACTTAAATTTAAATGTTTCTCCTAGCTCAGAAGCATTTCCTGGTGAGATTTCAAATATTCCAGAAAAAGGGTATGGATGACCACCATAGGCAAATTCTGAAAGAGAAAGCACAGATTTAACAAAAATGGCACACAATGACAGTAGGGAACAGCAGACCTCACTGACTGGAAGATCAGTTCACAAGGATCTAAGGCAGAAATCAGACATCTTATTTACACGGGTAACAAAGGCAAGGGGCTGGAAATGGCTACTTTTGTTAGTTACTAGTCAACCTGAGGAAAAAGTGACAGGAAATTTCCTGTATCAGTGCACAGGTTTAACTTGAATAATTTTACAGTAAATACATTGTTTTCATTGTATAAGTGAGGATTTACAAGTTAAATTGTAAATCATACCAATGTTCTTTATACAGGCTTGTCTTTAAAAGTTCACTTTCATAAGCACTTACAGTAGATGAAAGTATCACGGTGCGCTTCAGCTTCCTTCTGCGTCTGTGAGATAACGCAGCGCGCCTCACCCAGAGCACAGTAAAAAGCTTGAAGCGTGACTTCATGCTTCTGTTCCTCAAAACTCGTCACACATCACCCCAGCCTAGCATTCAGTTTTGTGGATAATCTTTTTTTACAACAGGTTAATAATAAAGTTTGATGTACTCTGAAAAATGCAAGTCATTGTTCTAGCAGGGGCATGACCCGCAGTATCAGAAAGCTGTTCTCATCTGAACAGGAAGGGAGGCACAGGTATTCAGCACTGCTCAAGAACTGGGTTTCAGGCACAGCGCTATTAAGAGTCAGGTCCTTCTGGTTCGGATTGAAAGAAATCTTAAAAAGTTTAAGCAATAAGCACTGTATTTTGTCAATTTGCTGCTTTGATAATGCTTGCAAATCCAGCTACAATGTGACCATTATAGCAGCTGAAACATCTACAGTTTAAGGTAACTTTGTGCAATGTGGTCTTTGGATTGCATGCCGCATCTTTTGCTGCTTCCTCTCACCTCCAGACACATTAAAAAAAAAACCAATCCTAAACAACCAACCAACCAACAAACCACCAAATACCAACACTGAAGTAGATTTTTCTCCTTTTACTTTTAGAAACCCCATCACCTCAGAGCGTCGCTATCCTGCTAGGCAGGAACACCTCAGACCTATTTAGCAAAACCGGAAGGTATTGCTGTATTTCTCACAGGTGTATCTTTTGTGAACAGTATGCATGAGATGCTTTTAAAGAAACAGTCTCTTTAAAGCAAATCAATATACCAGTAAGGAATACATAGCTTTTCCTGAGCATCATGTACTTTCGGGTGCTTATCTGCAACAGATTATTGTTTCTCTAGTTAAAAATTAACTCCTTGCACTAAGTGCTGGCAGAATACTGAAGAAACATGATTCAACCATGCTGACATGAAGTATACATTTGTTTTAACAAAATACAGGCATTTAAAAACCTAAAATAAAGATTTCTATGCCTAACTGAATAAATTGCACATTTTCTCATAGTTGCAGAGCTTTACACAAAAGGCAAGGTGACTGCTGGATTATTCGTATCTAAGGCTTTTTCCAGAGGCAGAAGAGGTGAGAACTTTAAGAGAAAACTGACAAAGAGGCTTCAGGAGTCAGACTTCCCTCAATACCTGAAAAACGTTTTTTTTAAACAGCAGCGCTACCGGAACACAGAGTAAGTTATGTTTTTCTTGTACGTACCTCGGCCATACACCTCTATACCTGAATGGAACACTCCAATGCCAAGGGAAGAAGTGTACTCATTCATCCAATACTAAAAGGAAAGAAGAAAACAAAAACAGGCTTTAGTTAAGTTTCCAGTACAGATTTGTCTTCTGATAGCAGGCTGACATGTATTTGTCCTCCACATCAAAAGCAATAAACCCTACCACAAAGTTAAACTGCACAACCCAATTTACTGGAACAGAACATGCCGTTAAAACTCCCCAAGTGTACATGGGGGATAACTCCATTAGGTTCTGCTCCAGCATTTTAGTGCTGTGAACGCCTGCCGTACCTGGGAGAAATCCAGATCAACTTTCGATTTGTCAACAAGTTACAGGCTATATCAAGTTTTCCATCAGGGGAAATGCATGCTAGAACCAACTGCAGTAATTCTGCAGCAGCCTGTTGTTAGAGGTTTTTTTTAAATAACATCCCAATGTAGGACTGTAATATACACAGCACCCAGTGTCATTTATAGCAGTGACCACACTTTTGCTTCTGACCAGATGAGCACAAGACACACTCAGAGGTACACAAAACAGACTGAAATGACCCTACTGTATTTTGCATTTGAATATTCAACTGGTGGTCACCATACAAGAGACTAAGCTCTCTCCAGGCTCCTGATGTTGCCTCCATGGATCAGGTGTAAGTCTAACACCTGTTTCCAATATATCACTTCATTGTAGCCTAATAGCTGCATTTCAAAAGGAAACCAGGAAGTAAAAAACCAAACCCTTCCCTTAGTCTTTTCTATTTTTCAAAAGCTGCAGCAGCAGCGAGTGCCCATCGGGAGCTAACTATTGCCCTCAGGACTTTAAAGATGCACAGAGTTCATGCACAGAGGAAAGGGAAAACCTCAAAATTCCTGTCTTCCCTTGACTGCATCACCACCTGCAAAGTATCAGTCTCCAAGCAGTAAAATTTTAAAGTGACACATAATTTAAATAGGAACCTCAAACAAAGGCTAAAGAAGAAAAAAAGCCTCAGTTGTGTCCTTAAAACTGAAATTAGCTAGCAAGAAAAACTTCTGGAAAATACAAGGAGAACATTATTCTGTCAATTACTCCAGCAGTGGGATTTTTTCTCCCACGTCCTCTGGTGTCCACCACTGCGAGCTTCTGCAAAGCAGACTTCAAAACGTCAGCTGGCAGGCAGGATACAGCCGGAGGAGATACCCCCAGCAAATTAGTATTTGTTTAGCAAACAGGAAGAAAAAGAAGCTTTATATCTTCTTTACACAGCCTGGTGACATAACAAGTGGTTTCTGATGTGAAGTCACTATAAAAACACTATAATAAAAATGTAAAAGGCTGTAGGTGTCACACTTTGTTAAGATGTGCTAGCTGGAGTCGGTGCGCAGTTTACAGGGCCACTGGCATATAAGGTGCATTTCTGAAAGCTGGTTTTATCCCAGTAAAAATGTTACACTGAACTTTGGACTGAGAAGCCATTCATGAAAATCAAGACAAGTTAAAAAAAAGGCAAAAAGAGCAAGTCAGGCCAAAGTGACGAATTTTCAGGCATAAGATACAGCTGTATTTGGCTTTTACAGTCATTGTTACTCTAAGTGTCATCAAACATAAAATAGATGGTCCCCCAAATTCAGTTACCAGCAGCTGCCAAACATCAGCACATGGTTTTTCCAGCCTAAAATTCATGATGGTGCTAACAAGCACAGGACACGTATGCCTAGCTGGGTAACAAGATGCAGAAGATTTGATGTTCTCTTCTATAGTGAAGCCAGTCGTGGGAAATTCTGCCAACGCAAATTAACAGGAGGCAGATTCTGCTCCTTGCATTTATTTAAAGTTGAGGCTTATTATGATCTGTGGATAAGTTTTGCTTAAGACTAAACTTTACCCTTTGCTTTCATTTCTGGCTCTGTCAATGCATGGCTATGTGAGCTAGCAGGGTACGGATGAGTATAATAAATTATCATCTCAGTCTATTTAAAGGGCTTAGCAGTTCGTTCTTTCCTCCCTCCAGAAAAGAGCAGAGAGCTATGATCGAGCTACATCAAGAAATACACTGGGTTAGACTTAGTCTGCTCTGAAAGACATAGAACAGGGAGCAAACCAAAAGAAGAGAAGGAAGGAGAACACTGTTAAGATCACCCAACTAACTTAATGGCTTTGAGAGCACACAAAAAATGGATTCTGTTCATTAAAGTGAAGTCAAAGCCCCTGGGAAAATGGAAGAGCTACTTCAACATAAAACTGCTTCAGTTCTGAAGCCAGTCCTGTCCCCCAGCTGACCATTTCAAAATAGTTTTAGGCTTATATTTATAGTCAAAATCATAGGCACATTCAACACAGAGTCTGTCAGCACAGGAAGTCTGTTTGCCTGGTGAGGTGGTGTATCCAGAGGAACCCCAGCTAGAGCTGGGCCAGCCAGGGTCCCTGGTGCTCCAGCCTCGCCTCTCCTGGACACCTCTTTGGCCAGAAAACTCAGGGCCCAGCCTCTGCATTTCAGATACACATCACACGTGCATTGGATCTGTTAATGCCAAGCAAGGTTATCACTGCTCTCCGAAAATGGAACAGAAGTTACACAAGATCTCCCCTAAGCAGTGGAAGGAATAAAGCCCAGTTTGTCACTAGGCAAAAAAAGTGAAAATTTGTGCTGCTTCCCTCCCACAATGCTGGGAAACTTAATGCAAGGAACAGGGAGAGGACAGAGAAGCGAGTCACCGTATGGATGCAGACAATGGGACGGAAAGCTGCCCTAAGGGGGTGTCCAGCAAGCCCAGCGCTGTTCAAGCGCACACCCCTTACTGGTGGCACCTAAACACACGCGGCTCACTGCACTACAAAAACTGAGCTCCAGTGGCAAGTTAAACAAGTGTCAGCAGCTTTGGAAGAAGCGCCTAAAGCAAGCCGGCACTTCACTTCATATTTCCAGCAAGAGCAGAGTGGGTTAACTGAAGATAAAAGAATTTCAATGAGGCAGAATTACTTTTCCCCTGGGAACAGTAATTATATCCAATTATTACTTAATCTGGATCAGCTGTTGGGAGGTTGGTCACATTTTCTCATTGAACAAAATGCCTTATCTCACTGAAGAAAGAAATGCAGGACTAATACAACTTAAAGGATGCTGAATTTGGCTACAGCTGAAAAGATTACATGTAACTTACAAAACAAAGATTGTAAACGAATTACATCTATATAGCTCGCTGGTTCAGTAACATGCCTTAAGTTCTGGAATCCTAAACTCATCCCAAAAGCTACAGCCTTGCTTCCATTACTTCCATTCCCTCCATGTAGTCTTGATAGGAATTTTGATATTAATTTTGCCATAGTAGAATGCACAGAAGCAGCACAATCCCACACCCTCAATATTTTGCAATAGGTCAGTCTTGTAAAACTAGAATTCATGCTTAATGCAACCATCAGAACGAAAATATTAGAGTATTTTTCTATATGCACAATAAAGTCATGTCACTGAAACGAAAGAAAAACACTAAACCCAGTGCTTCAAAAATATTTCCATTATTTTCTTCAGAGCTCTCATTTACGTTAATATTTTAGGTCGTTATAGCCTTATCTGACAAGGGAAAAAACAGGACACTACTTTGGGCACAGAAAAGCTAGACTCCTAAAAATAGCATTCAGCTAAAATGAAACTATGAAGTGTTCCAATTCTCAAAACACAGTATTTCAAAGTCTTCACCCTACCCTTTTAACGATCATAAAAGATTTTCAAAGGCACAAACTGCAGCACATAAATATACCCTTAAGCTTCTCTCCCTCCATAAAGTCAGCAGTACTTGAAAGTCCGCTTTCTTGTACAACACACACACCCCTCCTCACCCTTTGGTTTTATCAATTTTTTTTTGTCTTTTCAAGCACCAAGGACAGTGGAAGGGTACACGCTCCAAAACCAGCCCCCTCAGTCCTGTCAGGAGTTTCATCAGCACCAAGGTCAGCCAGTATTCCCCTGCGTACCTAAGCAGCTCTCTGGGAAATGAAGCTGCAGCTATCACTCAGGTGAAAATAAAGCTGTTACACGACTGTTGCAATTACAGTAGTGTCCATTCTCTCAGCCAGGTGAGTAACAAACCCCAAACCCACCTCCAGAAACAAACAGTAAACCTGCCAGTGCCTCCACACACAGTTGGCAGGATTTGATGGATAAACAGAAGTTCAAAATGGTTGTTACAGAACTCTTCCCTCCTGCCCCCCACCCTCAGTGTCCCTAAACAACGCAGTGGCATTAATTTCAGCAGGCTGTCCACATGCAGTAGTGACTGCTATGCAACAGGAAAGCGAGGTTTTAGTTCAAGCTCCTGCTTCAAATGAGTTTAAAATGGACTGAGACATCGGTCAACGGAAGAGGTTGAGGCAGGACGTACACTGACAGCGTCTTCCAGACACCGTGGGAACTGCAGTTTTTCTTTCCAGTTCAAAGGAAATCTGTTTCTCTAATGGTCAAACAATGTAGACATTGTTATAAAACAACAAACACAGCTGAAGAAGGATACAGAAACGCTCTGCTTACACTGCCTATAATTTGTGGTGATATACACCTTCAACAAATACCACAACTGCAGACAAACGGACAGAAAGCCGCCCCTACAAGTGATCAAAGACCTGCCAAAAAACCCAAACCAAAACAAAAGTGCTTGCTTCTTCTGGAGAATAAGCTCCTTCCGCTGATGGTGGCTTTAGAGACCATGCTACTTCTTGATGTAGGCAGAGCCCCACTGATCACAACAGGACAACCATCAGTCCCCAACCTGTCCTAAGGGAAAGCGTGACACTAGTTTTTATGAACACAACCTTCGTGTTGCTTTTTATCCCCCCCTTCCCTCCTGTCAACTGTCAGCCTTCCTAGGATGGAATAAACTCATCACAGCGACTCAACTCTGGAGGAAAAAGGAGGATACAGGTTGCAGCACAGAAATCTAAGGAGCAAGAGATGAAGGAGAACTGCGTGAATGAGAGAGCAGACTATCAGAAGAGAAAAGGAAGAGGCAGGTTTAAGTGACACCCCACCACTGCCACCATTGCAGCGAGCGTGGAGCTGCTCAGAGCGGCC